CTTTCCAAACAGATATTGATTTCCCATTGCAATGCACACCAGATCATAGTTTTCTAATATAACACTGAAATCTGCATGGCCCATTTTCTGCCTGCCATAGTTCAGCCTCCCCGCCAGCTTCATCAGCTTCAATTAGCCATGGAAATAATGTCCTTTGCTCTGATATTTTAGGAAGAAACAATTCACCCATTTGGACGGCTTATTTTCTAATATACGGATCCCTTCCTCTCACCCCCACCCATGTTCGTGCGATGTTTGCATTGACTGGGGGGGGCCTTGACTAGGAGGTGGATCCAGAAAGTAGGATTTTTCTTAATCAGAGAAATCCTAGAGCCGTGGGGCTGGCAGGGAGCTGCAGAGGTCACGTCCAGTCCAACCCCTGCCTGAGGCAGGATCAGCCCCGTCCCAACCAGCTCAGACACATCCAGCATCTAAACTCTACATAAGACTACCATCAGCCCTATCGCAATGCAAGACATCACACCTAAACCTGCCCCCGGTAAAGCAGGGGAGACAACCCCCTCCCAAGTCTGTACCAATCTTATTTTATGGTGCAATTTTATGGTGGAAAATCCTTTCCTGACCCCAAATGTGGCAATGGCCTGACCCTGAGCAGAGGGACAAGACCCTCCAGCTAGAAATCGCAGGCTTTAAATCCCAGCATTGGCACAGCCCAGTCCCCATCCCCAGCCTGGGCTGCAGCCAGCAGCTGGTGCCTCTGGGAGAGGCTTAAAAGAATACAAAAATAAAATAAAAATAAACCCAATCTGTCACCTGTAGCATTAAGTGCATTTAATGTTTTAGAAAGGGAAGGAACGAAGCCCACTCTCCGAATGCCGCATCATTTCTAGTCCCTCCTGCAGGCTTTTCCCAGAGGGAGAGGACACTTAAAGTTTTGCTTGGTTAGCAGGGGACCTGCCGTGCTGGAGGTAATGTCCCTCCTGGCAGCAAGGAGGAGATGGCAGCTGCACAAATAGGAACAAGTTCTTGGAAGAGATTTGATCCTAGAGGTAGAAAAGCAGCTCTGCTGATAGCTAGTGCCAGACCCCCTGCCTCTCTTTTGCACGGCCCAGGAGATGTTGCCACGCGCTTTGCTTTAGATGCACTTGAATTTTAAGCCTTTCCTTAAGGCTTTCAAGGGATGGGAAGGGACGGGAGCAACTATTCAGGCTAGTTTCTGCCAGGCTGAGACCCAAGTCTTGCAATAAGCAAAGATGAGATAATTGTCATTACTAGAACGAGTAAGGGCCAGACTCTCAGCACCTTAAAGGGGAAAACTACAGGCTTCCTCTCTGCCCGCTCCCCCAGAGGCCTGA